TACCAATGACAGATATCACAAATTAATTTCAAACTGTTACCATGACAAAAAAAACTATTGTAGTTAGAAATTCCCGACTTGTATAGAACATATTCAGGGTCATGAATACTTACTGTATTGAAAATTGATAGAAAGAATTCATTTCCCCTATTTTACAAGAGATTATAATACAGCTACACACACACACACTCACATACACTTAACATCAATAATGGATATCTTTTAATTCACTGTAAGTATAACATATACACAATATTATTTTGAATAAATTCAAACTAGGCGTTATTAAAATTACTGTATAATTATAAGAGAGAGGGAGAGAGAAAAAAGTTTATCATGTAAAAATCAGTTGCTATACGCAAGTTATTTTTTTCTATTTGACTCATAAATCTTTATAAACTAGATATTTATAATAAATGATATTTGATTTGTCATATCAAATATTTGATATCGGAAAGGGGTGTTGTGGATATTATAGTAATTTTATTAGTTCAGATCATGAGTCGAATGAAGTTAAACCACCTGGAAGCACTGAACAGCCGTTTCGTTCTATTGTGGGACTCCTCAGCAGTGCGCATCCACGATCCCACCTCGCGAGTTTCGAACACAGGACCTATCAGTTCCGCTCACGAGGGCTTAACCACTAAACCACTGAGCGGGATGGCATTCAACGGTGTTAATGTCTAACTTCAAATAATCCACAAAATTCAGCGACATATCCACCATAATATTCAGTGAGTTACTATCTCATAACAGACCCAGGTTTTTATGGTTTTCCATAGTGGGCTCATGATCTCAATTATTGAAATTATTATAATATCCACAAAAACCCCTTTTGATATTAATACGATTACCATATATAATTATGAGAGAGAGAGAGAGAAGTTTGTCATGCAAAATCAATTGCTACACAAGTTATTTTTCTCTATCTGACTCATAGATCTTTATAAACCAGATATTTATAATAAGCGATATTTGACTTGTCATATCAAATAGGAATAAGAAAACAGGGCTCACCTATAATTTTAAGAAGATGAAGTTGATTAGATAATGTTTTAGTATAAAATCTGATTCATTTCTTTCAAATCTAATTGGGATATGAATTGATAGAAGTTCAACCTTATTGATTAGTTTATAACCTTTCCATTTTATCTTTGACTCATCAGTTGTTATCAACTTATATACTATCTTGGTCAAATATCTGTGTAGAAATTACGATGCCAATCCCTTAAGATATATATATATATATATATATATATATATATATATATATATATATATATATATATATATATACAATTATCGTGGATGCGCACTGCTGATGAGTCCCATACTAGGACGAAACGGCGTCCAGTGCTTCCAGGTTTTCAATGGTGGTCTAGCTTCAACTAACTTATGATTTCAACCTGTGAAATATATACAATTGTCAATGGAACGAAATTCATATCCTATTTGAATACAATTTCTCCAAGAGGTAGTATCAACTAAAAAAAACTGTTATAAACGAAGAAGTCACAGTCAAATGTATTTGTTTGCGAAAAAAGTGATATAACCACATAGATAACAGCTAGGGAATTCACATTCATGGGCTTAACATTAATGTGATCACAGTGAAACCTAAATACCAACGATTCGATCTCATAGAAAGCTGAAGATGAATAAAACTGAAGGGTTTTTAGTTAAGACTGAATGATTGTTTAATTAGATCCGTTCTTAAATCATTCGCTCAGTAATTTAGTTTCATAATGGAAACTACCTTTGAATTGAAGAAAAACGTGGTTCTCTAGAGGCTAATTTCCCCTATATCTGACTTCAATAAATAGTATCCCGTTAACTGAGTATTAAATGCAGGCTAAATCTCCTAGTAGAATTACAGATGTAATCGAGATTATAGATATAGTTTAATGTTAAAGATTGGTAAAATCCGCAAGCGTACAGGAAGTAAGCACACAGGTGAAACAAGAGTGTGTGTGTGTGAGTGTTAAAAATCCATATATATTTTTGAGTGTTAATCAAGTATGGATAAATTATTGATTGTCTGTGTATTACAATCAATGGGAGAATAGATTAAAAATTGATGTGCAGAAATGTGCTCAATCATACACAGAAATTTACATAGTGGATCAAGTGTCTAAACTACAGTGAGCAGATAAATTATACAGTAGTTGAATTGGCTTACTGTAGTTCTATAAAATAATAGCCGGTTTTCAATTTAGTTATCATAACCCTTATAAGTCATTCAATTGAGTTGAATAATCTTTAAAACTGTCTGATAAAACACATAATTATAAAGCTTCACAGCTATTTCTCAACTTCTTGAACCACCTCACCGTCTTGTCATATTGTTGTGATTATAATCTGACGAATTTTGAATGCTGTCAATAGAAATCTAAAAAAAAAGAAGTTGAACAATCCATTCTGAATCATATTGAGAGAGAAATAGTTGAGTAAAGACTGATTTAATGACAAGGAAAACATTTTACAATAACCAACTATTTGTATTCTCTGTAAGTTAATCTGAATAGCTTATAACAACTAGTTTTGGAAAACCGGAAATCTTACATTTAATAGGCCTATTTTTAGTGTTCATTACAACCCATATTAAAATATGAATGTAGCTGCTCAAACAATTAACGAAGAAAACAACGGTAAGTTCTTTTAATCTGAATGATAAAAACAATCAAATCAACCTTCTTAATACATAGTTGAACGTGTATAAATTAGGGAATCGACTAAGTAAGCATACAATATAACCTTTTCAGATCGTCCTAAGATGACTCTTATTTAGGAAATACCAAGATGTGATTAGGTATTTAACGATTTTGTAAGTGATTAAAAGCCTGTGGTTCATTCTTATCTGAAGTTTATACTGATGATGTCTTGGAAAACGATGAAAGCTTTATAACTGAATCACATAGCTCAGAGAACCTAATTTCAAATTTTACGTACCTACAAATCTTCTTCCTTCTCTAATAGTTGACAATTCACTCCGAAGACAGTATCACAATGATATTGCTATTCTAAGCTAAAATTACGGTTGAGCATTTCAAAGAACCCAAATACCATAATCAATATACATAGTTCTTGTAGGTAGATCGAACAGATTGATTGATACTAAAGGATAACGAGTTCAAATTTTCTGCAAGTGTTTTGTTCTCTGAGATAATTTAGTTTAGTTGTAAAACTCATTAACAAATACTCAGAAAAGAAATGAGTTATTATTAATTATTCAACAATTGTCTAGTAGCTCATTCTGTTGACCTAGAATCCAGATGGTTGTTACCTAGAATTGTATCACCAACAGTTGCATGTCTGTCTTGGTTATTGATTCTCTTCATTTGAACTTTCATCTTGTAGGTTTTATTACTGGCTGGTAGATTTGACCGATTTCGATACTTGATTAGAATGCAAGGCTTTTAAAAATTCTCTGTATTTCTTCGTATATCATGTGTTCAGTATTTCGACGTTTTCTCAGACTAACTCATTTCTACAGTTGTCTTTAAGAGAAACTTTATCGTTTCATTTTACAGGTAACTTATGTTTATGTATACGTAGACGGACTCAAATTTATCTTTTAGGCCGAAGTATAAGATGAATATTTCGTATCACGTCAATTCATTACCTTCGTATCTAAATATCATGTCTCCTGAAGATTCTTGGCGAATTCATGATTACTTTATCCCTACTACTATCCTGCGCTTTCGACGGCTCATTCATGTAGACATTTTCACTAATGACTGTCATAGTGGTCATCTTAATTTATACAGTTGATGTGCTAGTTTAACCAAAGATGTGTACACAATGCTTAAGTTTATATGGTAGTAATCAAGTTTACCAAATATCCCACAATGTTTGAAAGCTTGCTTAGTAATTTCCGAAACATTGTTTATTGATCTGTTACTTACCTTTTTTCTGGTCGGCGTTTTTTGGCGAGTTAGTTTTCTACGGGATAACGTCGATAACCCCATGCCCATGCCCATGGGACCGGCAGTAACTCTGAAAGAGCTACAGACGGAGTTTTATTTCTAGAAAATAATTGTTCTATAGCGTAGCAATCAAATATATCTAATAGGTTCTCCGCATCAAAAAAAAGAGAACATGAGTGAGGATAACCGATTATATTTAGTACAAAATTACAGAGCTACTTGATAAAATAGAAAAACTATACTCCAATACTTTATTCTTGTCTCAGACGTCAATGTTCTTGCGTTTCCATAATAATTGCTTTTTATTCCCATTCTCGCCTCCTCGATATTTTCAACCTTTTGCTACCAGGCATTCTATTACTATTTGGTGTTATATACTACTGATGTCGAAATAAGTAGCATATACCTCAGTTTAATACACAAATTACTTACCAATTTCAATGCATTTCAACTTACTTTACTTAATTAATTACACCTGTTACTCCTAATGGAGCATAGGCCGCTGAACAGCATTCTCCAACACACTCTGTCCTGGACCTGCTTTTCTAGTTCCATTCAATTCTTGTTCATTTTTCTCATGTCTATCTCCATTTCCCGGCGTAATGTGTTCTTTGGTCTTCCTCTTGTCCTCATTTGGCCTTGAGGACTCCATGTGAGGGCTTGTCTTGTGATGCAGTTGGGTGCTTTCCTCAATGTGTGTCCTATCCACTTCCAGCTACGCCATAATTAGCTCAGTATAATTATAAAGATTTCCAGCCTTTAAGAAACCACCAGTATTTTTATAATAGATTGACTAAATATATCTAAATTTACATTTTGCATAATTCCAAATGCTTCCAGCATTTTTGTTAAGGAATGTAGTTGGATACTGATGAAAAATTTCAAACTAGGATAGAATACCCGTTCAGTTCTTTTTGTTTTCCAATGATGAGCTAGCTGAATGAATCAAGTGATTAAAACTGCCCTTACCATCATTACTTTCAAGAAGCGATTGAAATAAGACATTTACACAATTAGTCTCAGACTCAGTGGTTCGGAAGTTAGGTGCTCATCACAGGGCCTGGGTTCGATTTA